AATGTGTAACCAAGCTCATGGAATGTGCTCATGAAAATGAGGTGACGGTCATGTGGGTTAAGGGACACATCGGTATTGTGCAAAACGAGAAGGCAGATGAACTTACAAAGCAACGATCAGGCCATAAATTTTGCACCCCAAAACTCAGAATACCATTGGACTACAACATGATGACAGCCTATGTCTATAATTGGATAACCTCACTTCATCTCAATAGATGGAGAGAGTTGAGCACTTGTAAACAGACCAAACTAATGTTGCCGAAACTGTGGGTCAAGGAAACGATAAAAGTGCTTAGTTATTCGAGGAGCACTCTAAGCTGGCTGAACTCTTTAATTACTGGAAATGGTAACTTCAAGTATAACCTCAAAAAGATAACTCTTGTTGAGGAAGACACTTACAAACTATGTCTAGAAGGAAAGGAGGCAGCAGTGCATATATTGTGCTAATGTGCCGCACTGACAAGTAAAAGGAAGGCTGTCTTGGACTCCATTTAGTTGGTGATACCTTGGCAGGCAACCTCAAGCTAAACGAGCTGCTTGCATTAACAAGAGATGTAGTTATGCGAACGGAAGCCAGTCCAGCTTTAAGTCAATAACCACATCTGAGAATAGAAGGCCGAAAAAGGACCCAAATAGTTTCGTGGTCTACTTCGGCTAATCCTTTACTTCAGAGGGGCCACTTCTTGGATGGTGTGCTGTCCCAACGTCCCACCATAAATAAGTATATTATGGTTTTCCTTGTCATGCATTTCACGTATTAATTGAAAACTAACAGTTCCATCTGGCATTTGCAAATCGTTTTCCATTACCCTATTTCTTAAAAATTTCATCAAATGAGGGAAATCAAACATAAAATAGATTTTTCTATCATTGTGAAGTATAAATCGCAAGCGACGTCGTTCGCTCCGTACTGATTCGCAAGTAAGACGTTATCCTATGTGTTACTATCACTATCGTTTCGGAGCGGAAGCAAAAAAATTTTTCTGTGGTTATTAGAAATTTTAAGGAATACCAGTTTTATTAAGAATTCAAAAACTCGGTTTTATTAAGAATTCGAATATTAAGTTTCGTATATATTTCTCTGTAATTAGAAGTAAAATATTTCAATATATATTTTTTTTAAAAAGTTCATCATATATAAAATTTTTCAGCACACATTGCTGACACTTAGTTCCAAAATTTTAATTGTTAGTATGTTTTTTAAAATTTATCTTTCGTTTTTGTTTGCTTGTGTTTTGTTTAACATTCTCTTTTGTGTTTCAAAGTTATATATTTCACACATTATTACAAATTTTAATTTCAAGAACTTTAATTTCAATTTTCTTTGAATTTTTCATCAAAGTGTTTCTCTTATTTTAAGTTTTCACAGCAACATCCTAAAATTGTCGTGATAAACGTTACCTTGAGCTAACGTTACGGTTTCACTTTTTCTTTAGATATATAAACGTCAAGAAGGGTTTATTTAGGATGCGTTGAAATTATGTCTTTAAGTCATATATATTTTTAAATTGAATGTGTAATGAATTTAATTATTTTTTACAATTTATTTTAACTATTTCACACACGTTTTAACAAAATTTTAGTGGTAAAATAATTTTATTATTTCATACGTTATTGTCGTACGTATGGTTGAGTGTACATTTGTATACGATTTATATGCAATCGCCAATTAAATTTTTTTTTGTAAAAAACTTCAACATTAACTTTGTGGATAATTTTATCCAACTTTTTTGTAAAAAAATGATTATTTTATTTTATTTTTATTATTAATGTTCCTATTCCCCCTTTTTTGGGATTGCAGGGATTTTTGATTTTTACATTCACATCACGTGAGTGTAATTTTTTTCTTTTTAATTCTTTTTTAATTTTCCGCTTTTGCGTGAGTTCACTGTGATTTTTTGCACTTGCGTCGCACACTTTTTAATTTTTCTGCATTAGTGCCCCACGTTGGGCGCCAATTAAATATTTTGTTGTTAATTATTTATTTTTAAATCATTCATATTTTATTTAATTTATAATAATAATTGTTACAAACTTAAATTAATATTTTATACTTATTTAATGTTGTTTTTTATAAAAAGATATATTTTATTAATTTTTATTTAATATTATAATTTTATTTAACATATGTATTGAATTTGACTTGTGTCTTTTTTATTTATAATAATTTATGTATATTTTGTTTATAATGATTTATTTATCCGAAAACGACTTGACTTCTTTTAGCTTTTTCCATCGACTCACTCTTAGAAGTTTTTCTGCTGATGCCCAAAGTCGTTAATGAAAATTTTAGGATTGGATTGACCAATCGAATTATAGCTTCTAAAATTCATCAGAATATTCTAGAAGCTTCTTATCTCCATCCTATAGGATTGGAGCTTCTATTTTCTAAAGCTCCTCATAAGAGTCTTTAGCTTTGGCGTCAATAGCCAGATGACGAGATTAATATACAATAGTATATGAACATCTCATCAATCAAATATTCGAAATGATATTGATATCTTTTCCGCAAGATAATTCCATTTCGAAAAGAAAACAATTTCTTTTTGCAACATTGTTGCCATATAAAGTATAAACGCTGAGCCTAAGAAATGAAATACAATATTTTTTGATGATAAAACGCACATAGACGTTTTCAGTTATTCTGAACAATAAACCGCACATAGGCGTTTTCAAATACCCGTTTTCACGGGCTATGTTTTCGCTTGCCATTACACATCAAATTTTTCGACAATTTCTTAAACATCATTCTGATCATCAGTCATCAGTATGGAAGCAATCGCTGAAGTGTCAACAGCAGCTGCTATGCGTAATTTCATAACGAAAAATGATGTTTCATATTTAATTTATAATATTAATTTATATATTTATTTTTATAATTTTAATTTATATATTTAATTTTATCTATTATATATTATTTAATATTTTGAATTGTTTGAATTTTTTTGATATGTTTTAGTAATAAATTTTTCGTAGGTAGACAACACAAATAATATTTAAAATAAGATATTCATTGTAATTTAATGTTTGGTTATTTATAAATTTTTATTAACCCAAGTTTTTTAATATTTTAATTCTTCTTCATGTTATTAATATGTTTTGGAAATTAAGAAATTTTACCTTGGTAGAAAATACAAATATGTAATATTTAAAATAAAAGATACAATTCATTCATAGTTGCACGTGTAAAACGCAATCCGTGTCTAGAATTAAACCGCATAATTTTAAGGATAAAGCCTGTGGAATGTTAGTAGTATTTTCGTATATGTCAACTTAACTTTTAGCATTTTAATGTGAAAATTATTTTGAATTTTTTTTTAAACTGCAGAAAGCCCACATGCATTACTTATGTTACATTTGCATTTCAAATGAAAAGGATTTTTTAGTATTATATTAACAGTTTAATTATGGGCTACTATAATGTTACCTTAAAGCTAAATCATAAGCAATATTTTTTGTTAGGCCATTTTAAGCGTATATATGTAGATCAGGTGCTTTTCCAACACGGTAACACGCAACATATAGTTTCCCATGCGAAAAACATGGATTTTCCAAATTCAGTCCATTTACTTTTAGTGTTTGACCTTGAGATTTATTAATTGTCATCGCAAATGCTAAACGAATTGGAAATTGCAATTGTTTGAATTGAATGGGAATATTGGTT